AGGCTGAAAGAATTTTTGTGATTAGCATTGTATCAGTAAAGACCATCAGCATACTCTCTTCTCTTCTACCATTTTTTGGGTGTATAATGAATAATGGCTGACATGATCATGTTCTTACATACAATAATGGTAATACAAGTAGAAATGTAAAGTTGTCAACTTCTTTCTCTTTTTGGCCAGAAACGGAATGCTTAAAGGGCGTCCTAGTTCTTACTCAAAACAACAGAACGAGTCTTGCAGGCTCCAGGCTCCAGTTTCCAGATATATCATATTTTTATCTAGTATCGAAGAATTGGATTTTTACGATCAATAGCGTGACGTGCCAAAACTAAAATGCTAAAGGAGACACTTCTTCTCATACTTCAAACTCTCTAATGATCATCATTATCACTACTGTAGATCTGGAAAGCGGATTGCAGAGTTTCAGGCTCTGTTCCTGATACAGCAATGGTTGGAAACTTCTCAGCTTCAGAAGAAGCCACAGGTTTCTTCTTTACGACTGAAATCCTGATCTGCTGGGACCCTAAGCACCCAGCTTTCTTATCGCTTCGAGAATTTCCCCACCTAGCAGCTTCTGTCGCGGCGACGAGCTTCCTGCTGCCGGAAAGCTCATCCAAATCTTCGTCTGAAATCCTACGAAAAATGTTGCGGGAAGATGCGAATTTCGCAACCGCCTCGTCTTCCTCCTCCTGCTCCAACCTCCGCTTCTTCTCCGCCGCCGCCAACCCCTCGAGAACCGAGTCCAAAACCACAGCTTCCCGCCTCGAATTCACCGCTTTCCGCTCTTCAAGCGACATATCAGCATCCTTCCTTCTTTTCTCGTCGCCACATCTCTTCTCCAAATCCTCCAACAGGCTCCAATTTTCCTCCTCCGCGTGGCGGCGCCGCGGGAAAACGCGGGTCGCGCCGGACTCGACGGTGTAGTCGGAGTTTTCCGGGTCGGTTTTGATCGAGAATTCGGCGGAGCAATTCGTACATTTGTGATAAAACCTCTTTATCTGGATTTCCCCCAGATACTTCTCGCCGATCGCGTCCTCCTGCCGGACGTTGAACTTGGTGCCCTCGGCCATGTAATTGCCGCAGGTATTGCATCGTACTCTCACCGGAAGCATCGACGCGACCTTTTTCTGGGGCTTGGATCTTCGCCGCGGGAGCTTCGAAGGGTCGAAATCGGGAGGGTAATATTTGTTCAGAACTTTCCGCTCTCCCATGGCTCTGGAATCCGATGAATGCTAGCCTTAGCAGCCGCCGGCGCTCTTTTAATTACTCTGTTTCTTTCGTTTCCTTGCACAGCAAGTCGTGTAATTAGTTTTCACTTCGGATTAGAAATTGGAAAAGGGCGGTGAATATATACGGCCCACCTCCGTCGGCATATTAGCCCATTAAGAAAAGTTTTTCAAGACAATAAAAGGGCCCATTTTGGGCCCAGGTTCAGATACACGTGAAATTAATTATAACGGGGCTCAGGCCCAATCTTGACGAGTGACTCACTCACGAGTCACGACTCACCTTGACTGGTTGGTAGCGGAAGCTACTATAAAACGAGTTCCCATTTGACGCACGCTGTTTCATCGCAAAAGAGAATCAGTAACGTAGCCTGGTTGTTGTTGTTGCAGAAGGGCCGGCGCGAGACAAAACAGGGGAATCAGTGTTCAGTAACGTAAATCTCTTCTTTACTTGTCTACTTCCTTTCAAAGTTTCAATTGAGTCTTTTTTTTGTTCTTAGCTTGAATCAATAGTAGGAGTAAGAGAGAGCTCTCAATTGCGTAGAAAAGGATTCCAGTCCAATCGTCGTTCTCTTCTCCAGAACCAGGGCATTCGAAAATGGGTAGTGATGATGGCTACTCTCAGCGCCTGTCATCCTTGCTCTCTGCAAAAGACAGGGACTTTCTCATCCGCAGAAATGTCGACCAGGTGAAAATCGGTAGTTTGGCTGGTAAGCCCTTGGGATTGTACTTCTCTGCCTCTGGGTGCAAACCCAGTCAGGGTTTCACCCCGCTCTTGCTGCAAGCCTATGAAGATCTCACGAAATCGAAATCCGATTTCGAAGTGGTCTTCGTTTCTTCCGACGAAGACGAGGAATCTTTCGATCATTACTTTTCCAAGATGCCATGGCTTGCTGTCCCGTTTTCAGACTCCGATACCCGTGCTGGTCTCAGGGAGCTGTTCAAGGTCAAGGCGACTCCTCATCTCGTCATCCTTGACAAACAGGGGAAGGTTTCTTGTCATGGCGGAGTGAAGATCGTCACCAAGTATGGAGCTCGAGGCTATCCCTTCACCGAGGAGAAGCTCAAGTTCTTGAGTGAGGAACAGGAGAATGCTAAGAAGAACCAGACCCTGACCTCTCTGCTGGCGTCACCCACTCGCGATTATCTCATATCCAATGATGGAACAGAGGTACGGAAAATCGAATTCTTCATTTTGTTTGTTTCAATTGTTATGTCAGAAGTTGAAATTACATGTAATTTGTGGGAAATTGTGCAGACTGCTGTACACGAGCTCGAGGGGAAAATGGTTCTTCTGTACATAACATCCCACGACGTCCCATCGTGTGCTGAATTCACTCCCAAACTAGTGGATTTCTACAAGAAAGTTAAGGAGAATGGAGAGGGGAACTTCGAGGTTGTGCTTGTGTCGTTCGATTCGACGGAGGAGAAGTATCGAACGTGGTTCGAGACGATGCCATGGTTGGCTGTGCCGTTCCAGGACAAGACCTGTGGGAAGCTGCTGGACTACTTTCAGGTCAGAAGCGCTCCCACGGTGATCGTGATCGGTCGAGATGGGAAGACGATGAACCCGAATGTCGCCGAGCTCATCGAGGAGTTCGGTATCGTAGCCTACCCGTTCAGTCCGGAGAAGATTGCAGAGTTTGCCGAGGTTAAGAAAGCTAGAAATGCAGAAGTGTCACAGACACTCGAGTCGATTCTGGTTCATGGAGACAAGGACTTCCTCTTTGACAACAGCGGTTCAAAGGCAAGTCTTCTGATTTACTCATCATCATCAAGATTGTTATAATCGCAGAGGTTATCAGGATTCGAACACGAGAGACCTGATGTTGTGTGATCTAGCCATAACCAGAGTTGTCTAGAGATACCCAAATCTCATACATGTTAGAATTCTTGATTAATGCGATACCAATTGGGTTTGATGTGCAGGTTCCGGTTTCTGAGCTAGTTGGGAAGAACATTATCTTATACTTCTCAGCTCATTGGTGCCCTCCTTGCCGCAAATTCACACCCAAGCTTGCCTCAGCATACAATGAAATCAAGGCGAAAGACAGCAACTTTGAGGTGGTCTTCATCTCCAGCGACAAGGACGAATCCTCGTTCGACGAATACTTCTCCACAATGCCATGGCTCGCTGTCCCATTCGATCCCGAGATCAAAACCATTCTGCACAAGAAGTTCAAGATATCAGGGATTCCATCTGCCATAGCAATCGGTCCAAGTGGCCAGACAGTGAGTATGGAAGTCAGAGATGCGTTCTCAGTTCATGGAGTGGATGCCTACCCTTTCACTGAGGAACATTTGAAGCGACTCGAGGAGCGATTGGACGAGCAAGCGAACCGGTGCTGGCCGTCGAAAGTGAGGCGTGAGCAGCTCCACGAGCATGAGCTTGTGAGGAAGAAGGTGGGGATTTACTTGTGTGGTGGATGTGAGGAAATGGGAGGTGCTTGGTCTTATAGCTGCGAGCCTTGTGATTTTGATGCCCATCACAAATGTGTTCTTGAGGAAGGTAAAATTGGGGGAGATGAGAAGGAAGGGTGGATTTGTGAAGGAGATGTGTGCAGGAAAGCTTGAGGAAGAAACCAGCTATGGAAGCTCTGCAGTTTCTTTGCCTTGTCAGTTTGGTTTTAGACTGAACTTTTTACGAATTGAGAGATCATAGCGTGTTTTGATTACTAAAGAAATCGTGAATTTCGGAATTATGAATATTTATTTCACATAAATAAAGGTCAAAAATTATATGATCGAACTCATGGTTTTTAATTATTTATAATTTTGTTATAGGTGGTTTATCTAAAACTTAAGATCAAATTACCGGGAAAAACATGAGATCGAAAAAGTAGAATATAGCTAAAAAGCGTAAAACTAATAAGGGGTAGTTTGGAAGTTGTGATTGTTTTGTTGAGATTGTCATTATGCATGTATTGTTTACAATGCATCGTTTTTTTTTGTTTTTTTAGCAGAAACAATACATAGATTGTTTCTGTGATGTGACAGAAACTATCACTCATTTTGAGTGATTGTTATATCTCAACTTTTAGTTGTGATTGTTGAGATAGTTGAGTTGAGATTGTTTTGTCTCAGCTTTTAGCTGATGCGAAATACACAATCACACATACCAAACGTTGTATTCTACAATGCATCAAATTCGACAATACATGTATAATATTATAATGCATTCTCACAATACATATATTTAACAATCTCAACTTCCAAACCACCCCTAAATACTTTTTTCTTGTTTTACTTGTTCCTCTTCTGTTCTTAATTAATTGAGTTCACGCTTATCGGGAAAAAACTTTTGTTTTAAAGCATGAAAACAGTCTATTCAGTTATTAACTTATAATACTGTAACTTAGATTATTAGTTAAGGGAGTTGCTAAATGACGTCCTTAAAATTACTTTTAGTCGTCCTAAATCAAATAAATTTACCTATTTGTCCAATGCCAATTTTAAATTATATTCTAAATCAAACATGCCACTAGAATCTAAACATACTTTCTCTTCCCTCTCGATTCACTCTCCTAAGGACAAATCCAACTTCCTCTCCCCTGCATTGCCCAAGCCGACAAATCCATCTTCTTTCCCTCTCCCCTGCATTCTCGAGAAACTCCCAAAGGCCCACCTCGTCGAGACGTCGACCCGTGCCTCTGACACGCATCTCGTCGGTGGGTTTGCACAGGCCGGCCGCTCCTCGAACTCTGTTTCTCCACGCCGGCCTCTGTTTCTCCCAAGTCATGAACCTCGCCTATCAAACCCAGAAGCAACGACACCCTACCTCTCTCGTCGGCGTGTCTTCCCACCCCTCTCGTCGACGGCTGCGCTGCTTATTCCCGCCACAGCCTTCCCGGCCGCCGCCATCACCTCTGCCCCTGCATTGCCGGAGAAGACGTAGAGCCGGATAAGGTGCATTCTCATTCGCCGTGCCGCACTTGTTGCCGGAGAAGAAGCTCGACGACGACTCCGTTCCTGCGTTCTTTCTTCCTCCCGTCCCAGCCGTCACAGCTCTGTTGTTGCCTCAACCATTGTCAGCGGTTCGCCGCCACTTGCAAAGCCTGAGAACACCACTGGAGAAGGTAAGACAGAGCTCAGTCAAACATCGGTCTCATGTGGCCAAACGAAATATGGTCAGCGCTTGATCCTATGGACAAACCATTGTAGACTTGTGTTTGACCGGAAGGCAAAGCATTCTAGTATTGTGTTTGACCCCGTGGTCAACATGTTTTAATATTCGGTTTGACCCGTGGTCTTAAACACCTGCGGTCAAACGAAGCAAAAACTGGATTTGACCCTTGCTGAACCGCAAATTAATTTGGTTTGAGCCGCTGGTCAAATAAGCTCAATCCAAATTTTTACCGTTGGTCAAACAAGGACATTCCAACGTTCTGCCCCGGTGTAACCTAAAAACTCAATTCATTCAACCATTTAAGACTAACCTTCTCCGGTAGCAAGAAAATCCGGCAACCAGGTCTTCTTCACCTTTGCTTGGCTGAAAACAAAAACAAATCAAAGCTTCCAGCTTTCAGAGCATAGACTACCAGCGAAACTCAATCGAATCCATCATCCCTTCTAACTCACCTTCTTTGTCGATTTCATCTTCTTCCTCGTCAGCTAGGCTGGAACAGAGTAGAGCGAGGCAGAGGGAACGTGTGGCCTTCGATTTAAACCTTCTTCGTCGTCGGCTAGGTTGGAAGTTGGAACAAAGCATGAGCTTCAGTTGCCGGCAGAGGCAGTGGCTTAGCAAAGGGGAAGTGTTGCCGTCGACTTCGCCGAGCTTGTCGTTGGTGGGGTGTGTACTGGTCAGAGGTGGTTGGGTCGGAGGTAGAGGGGAAGCCGTGGGGGAAGAGAGAATTTGCTTCAATTTTCTCGTGCTTCGTCGCCGGCGAGATGTGTGCAGAGAGGTGACTTGCCAGAGCAGGTGAGAGGCAGAGTGGCGGCTGGCGGCTTGCTATGTGCGGGACAGGTTGGAGGCGGAAGGTCTGGAGGTAGAGGCAAGGTAAGAGGGGAAGGGGAAGGGTTTCGTTCAGAGGAGAGAGAGGGACGAGGGAGGACTAAGGTTGTTTGGTGGGTTTTGGTTTTCTAATTTAAGTTGGATATTTAGGTCATTTATATATTTAACTTAGGACGAAGAATAGTAATTTAAGGACGACATTTAGCATTTTAGTTAGTTAATTATAAGTGTGTACCCAAAAAAAAAAAAAAAAGTTAATTATAAGTGATGACACTAATAAAAATATCAAAATGTCGGTATTGAGCCTTTTAGTATGAGCAGGCCGCTACGAGCCCACATTTTGTAGCCCAGTCCAGTTACTACGGCAGGCCCGTGTACAGCCCAGGAGCCCCCCAGCACCTCTGCACAGTCGAGAGATTGAGAAGCTCAAAAAACCTTGCTGAAGAAACCCTAGCTGCCATTTTCGTAAACTCTCTCATCTCTGCCACCCACTGTCCAGCGAGCCTTTCACCCGTCGACAGCCATGGTAGGCTTCTTCCCGTCGCTCCTCTCAGTCTCTCTCTCCCTCTCAATCTTGCTTCCCGACGGCTTTTGTGTCTTAATGTAGTAGTATCCGTTGCGTCTCTGTGCAGGGTATCGATTTGAAGGCAGGAGGAAAGAGCAAGAAGACGAAGCGCACAGCCCCAAAGTCCAATGATATCTACCTCAAGCTTCTTGTCAAGGTATTTTGATTCAGATATCCATGCGTGTTTCGTTTCCCTGAAATTGAATCATTTTGATTGTGCCCTTTTGCCTGATTTGAATTTGGTTGATGCCGAATCAGCTGTACCGGTTTCTGGTGAGGAGGACTGGGAGCAGCTTCAATCAAGTGGTATTGAAGAGGTTGTTTATGAGCAAGATCAACAAGCCTCCACTCTCTCTGTCCAGGCTTATCCGCTTCACTAAGGGAAAGGTTTGGTCGCCTGTCTTTAGGTTTTTGTTTCTCAGCCTTGAAGTTGGTTTCTTTTTTGCATTGGTGCTGAGATTTTCTGCTGTTTGATTTTGGGTAGGAGGACAAAATTGCTGTTGTGGTGGGAACGATCACTGATGACATTAGGACCTATGAGGTTCCAGCTTTGAAGGTTACTGCCTTGAGGTTCACTGAGACTGCTAGGGCCAGAATTGAGAAGGCTGGTGGGGAGTGCTTGACATTCGATCAGCTGGCTTTGAGAGCTCCTCTTGGCCAGAACACTGTATGTCGCTTCTCCCTTTCTCCATTTTTTCGAGTTTTAGTTATTAGCTACTTCTGAAATAGATTGGAGTATTGCTTGGTTGAACGTTTGAAAGCTTCTTTAGGTTTTGACTGGAGGATGGAAGATTAGTGAATATAGTGCTCATGTTTATAGAATTTGTGGGTCTTATTGAATATGAGTGTATTGATGAATCACTGATTAGGCTACAGATCACTAATGCACATCCCTTATTTCTTTGATTTTGAAACTCTGATCAAGCAACTGAGTTCGTCAATAGTACCTTCCATTTCGTTATGGTTGGCATGCTTTCTTTTGTTTCTGTGGTTCTAAGATTCTATTGAGGTCTGTTTTCATGGATACAACTTCCTTCTTTGATGGTTATAATTCGCACTTGGATACGTTGTGCCAATGTCACAGCTATATCATTGTTAAATGCTGAGATTGGTTTCTATTATCGTCTGCAGGTTCTCCTCAGGGGTCCCAAGAATGCTCGCGAGGCAGTGAAGCACTTTGGCCCAGCTCCTGGTGTGCCTCACAGCCATAGCAAGCCTTATGTTAGATCGAAGGGAAGGAAGTTTGAGAAGGCTAGAGGAAGGAGAAACAGCAGGGGTTTCAGGGTCTAATTTGTGGGGTGTTTTAGTCTCTCGAACATGCAAACCTTTCGTGATGTTTTCTTTATAGTTCCAAAATTTGCTAGAACCCTGGGAATTAATCAAACATCTTTTTATGCTTGCTGTTCAATAGTTGGAAATTTTGTTCTTGTTGTCTGCGATGAACAACAATGCTTAATTTTGTCAACTTCGTCATTACCATTGCAAGATTTATCTTGCCTCTCTCTCTACACCCATTTTAAGTAGAGAGATGAACTACAGGCCTGTTACCATGCCGTTCATCTTTTTCTACTTCTTCCATGTGTACTCTACTGATGCATAACCCTTCGTCATTTTCCATATCTTGTCCGTCGTTCCCTTAATAGTAGAGTAAGCACAGTTAACATACTTCGAAACAGTAGTTAGATAATTCCCTTGCTATGCATTATAAGGTCGATAATGTTGATTCTTAGGAAACCCAAATCGGTCGGATTTATGTGGTATAGTGTTTATGTTTAAAATGTGGTTGTATTTGTGAAACAATTATCTATATCACAATTATCCTTGATATAGATTAGGAATGGCGATGAGGCAGACCTAATCTACACCTATTTAAAGTAGAATGTGAAAACTTTTTGAGTATTCCAAATTTCATGACTCGTGAGTGATTCTAAAAATGTTTTCATAATTGTATCTTATTTTTTATAGATTAAAATTACATTATTGTGATTGGAACTAGGGATGTCAATGGGTAGGGTCGGGTGCGGGTTTACCCTATACCAACTCCTAACCCGCCGGGTAGAGCTTTCTAAAATACCCGATCAAATAACCACCGGGTATGAAAATTATATAACCATACCCTACCCACCGGGTAACCACGGGTATTCGGCTAACCATGGGTACGAATCCTAAACTATGAGCTTATACACATATATATACACATACATACTGTTGTCCATTAAAAATTCTCAATACTTGTAACTGTTCTAGCTTCAACAATCCACACAAATAAAAACAGCAAACACATAATAATTGTTCTTGCTTCTACAATCCACACAAACATAATAATTGTCTACATCTTCATCATCAATAATGGTAGCTAAACTCAATTTCTCAAGCTAAAATAAATTTCTCAAGGGAAATTGACCCTTTGGTTAGCGGAGCGGGTATAACGGGGCGGGTATTACCGATTACCATACCCATACCCTACCCTTTATTTTGAAACCGGGTATTACCCCTACCCGCCCCTTAACCCGTCAAAGCGGGTAATTACCCTCGTTGACCGGTTACGGTCGGATAGGGTACGCATGATTACGGGTTGGATTGACATCCCTAATTGGAACCCAGGTCACTCAAATATAGAAAGGGCTTCATAGCTATGAACAATCTAGACACCACAAACATATTTGGTCTTTGATGCTTCATATTTATATTTTATTTGAAGTTTATTTATATCTTATCGAATGAGAATAATTTTGAACTCGGAACTCAAGTAACGAATATTAAATATTGAAATTTACATGTATTTATATTTTATTTGAATTTATTTATATCTCATTGAAGGAGACTAATTATGAAATTGGAACTCACACAACATTGATTTGAATATCAAATATTGAATTGTATGTATGGTTAAGTTAAACAAAATACACATGCATAGCCATAACTTCAACGTTTACCAATATAGTCTTTTTTTTAATAATAACAAATATAGTCATTTCATCCATGAAATCGGTTAGCTTTGACATCATCGTCAACAATGTTGACTAGAACGAAATACACTAGCATTGCATTTTTTTGTGTTAACTTTCAACTTAATTTTGGCATTTTTGTTCTAATAAACTTAAATAGAAAATAAAAGACACAAAGGAAGGAAAAATATATTGTTCCTTCGCAAAAAAAGAAAAAGGGAAAATTAATATGAACAAATGAATGATCATATGACCTCTCCTTCTAACCTCTTGTCTATCTTTGTTTTTCTGCTTCTTCTGCATCTACCGTCGTTGATCAAAATCATAACCGTTGTCGCCTCCCATCTAGCAACACATTGGAGTTCAATAACATATGATAACGCTTCGTTCATCACGTAATGACGAATACAAAATAACTTGCTTCATTCGATGATGAAATCGACACACAAAACTCCAAACACGAAACAAGTTGCACAATTCCCCTTCACTATATATTAGCATCTCAGTAAATAATCCATGAGAATGCTTCAATCCTAATATTCTAAAATTATCTTATCCCTTCTCCAATATTCAATTTCTCATTTTTTTCTATTACAAGATTTTACTATAACAAATTCGTCCGCTTTCTAGAGGTTGACATCTGAATACCACGTTATTTCATAGAGATAGAGCTAATCGAAGGAAGGGATGGACAAAGGGATAGAGAGATGAGGGCATTCATGAGGAAGTAGCACTAAACCGAACCCATCCAAATCCTAACTTTTGATTGCAAATCGTCAGACGAATGCTCAATTGAGACAAAAAGGAAATCTTTGATGTCAACTCGAGTGGTTAAATTTCAAATGGTTTTAGCATAAAATCTCCAACAATTGATTGACAGGGAGGAACAAAGGAAAGTAGAAGGTGTCTATGTCATTTGGAAGACGATTGGGGTGTTGATTGATAAGATAGAGTGACATGTTTGTCCATCGAATGAAAACATATAAATGACAATGTAGTTTTGTTGGAATTAAGAACTTTTTGTGGATTTTTATTTAGGCGACGACAATAGTGACTATGATGGATGACGAAGATAGGAGGGCTTTAAGAGGAAGGAAAGAGCAAAATGAAAACTAAAACTTTTAATTTTTTTTATTAATCTGATGTGACCAACATGTGGTATGACATGTCGATTATGAGCTGACATGGAAGTTGAAGTGGTGTCCACCTCAACTTGTTAATGTTTCTAAAGAAACTTCTAAAGTCATTATCCTTTCTAGCAAAAATGACTAGATTTTTCTGCTGTCCTAAATATAGTTATATGGGTCATTACTAAACAATGACTACATTGTGAGTACATATTAGGTTCTTGATATGTTAGATTTCCAAAATCACTTCTAGTGAACTTTTCCGATTTCATGATGCCAAAAAATTAGGGGGGGGGGGAACTTTCTTTATGTTGGACAACATATTTTGTATACATTTTTATGATCTTCAAATGGAAGAGTTAAATAAATCTCATAGGTTTGGATTTATATATCAAACTAAACACTAAAATCCATGATCCAAATGCCCCATATAGTTCTTTTCTTTTCTTTTCTAATTTTTAAATATCATATCTTTTCTATTTTTTCCTAAAATTATAATTTTTTTAGAAAATTATGTTGTATATGTGAGGCATAGAGTGATTATCTCATCAAAAGTCTAAAAACATACGTTTAATATTTGAGATTTTGACATTAATAATAGCCTTGGATTATCATCATATGTTACACAAGTTTTTAGAAACCATAACTATTTTTGGAGATATACATTATTTACTAATGAAATAATCTTTAAAATTTATAATTTCTTAATTATTATATTTTTATGATTTTCAGCCATACAAATTGAATCCATTGTCTGATGAATTTTATACTTCCATATACCATTAGGCTAATCCTTTGGGGTTTCTAGTTATTACTTTAATGCACAATTTTCTTAGTTTTGTTTGAATTTAATAGGAAAAATACTGAATCTTATGAAGAAATATCTATGATGAGGATGACATTGGTGAATAAATAGGAAATCATCGAGACAATCTCAATCGAGATTTGGAAATCAATACACAACAACCTTATTTTGCGGCAAATGTTATGTTTTTTGTTTTTTATATAATAATAAGCTATATATTTTTATTCATTAACTTATATATTACTTTCTAAAGTTTTATAGGAAATAAGTATCATCCACTCAATGTTGATATTTTTGCAAGAGAATAAAACAGTAATTAACTTTGGATTACACAGAATAAACATTAAAATGACATCATTTTTTGTTTTTGTGTTTTCTTCTTCCATATCACTCGAATTTAAGTGGATCAGCTTTTTTAAGGTGCAATGCAAATACCAATAAATGATGATTAACAAAGACAAACCATTCTAAACGTATTAATATAGAAAGACTGTGATAGGTCTTTACTTACTTTAGATGAGAAAAACTACAACCCTAAACTAGGGGGGAAGGGGGAGAGGAGAGAGACGAAAAGAAAGGATTATGATGGCTCTTTACTTACTCTATTGTTAAAAACTTTTTTCTAAATTCTAAAATAAGTTTAGATTTTTTTTTTGAAAAATGGTAGAGATTGATGCTCGTGTTCCTATTATTAAGGATGTATGTAGTAGGTATTGTTCTTAATCATGCACTAAAAAAAGAAAACACTTTTCATCAAGATTTATTTCAATGCTTTAGATTTGGTATTATTTCTCAACTTTCTTCTTCCACAACATCATATTCGTTTTTGATCATTTATGTATCTACACCAGCATAGAAAAAAATAGTCATTTTCTTTTCATCCTTATTTGGAAAAAAAAATTTCATCTACCGACTCAACCATTACACAAACATGCACCTAGTATTGAAAGAAAAAACAAATAAAAAACATGTTAGAATAATTGTTCAAAAAGGAGGGATATTTTTTTCTTTGAGAGACAGTACTAAAAGAAAGAGGATCAGGTGAAGAGCAAGTCGCAAGGAAAAGGGAAGAGCCGAAAGGAAGGATTGCCATGAGTTCTTAACGTCTACATTTCTGGAAAAAGTTTGGTAAATTTTGATAGCACGCAAAAAGAAGTAAAAACTGTTCATCAAGAGTTGCTCCAGTTATTTGGATTTGGTATCTTGTTTCATCTTGTGTTTCCGCTGTCATCACACTCTATCTCGGTAGGAGATAAAAGGCATTCAGTTTTGTGAAGACACGGTGGAGGATCCCGATTGTGCAGTGTATGGAGTCTAGGGTTTGCTGTAATTGTAAATAAATTTGTCAACCCAAGTGAAATTAGGTCGCCTTTGGTCATTCTCTTTTTTATTTTTTTTTTAAAACAAAGAACTTTGGACCTTCAAACAAAACAAAGAACTTCTTCGTAAAATCCTTGGAGGTTCTCATTCAGAACTTTGCTGAGATTGTATAATAGTTCACTTGAGAAGACACTTGAAAAGGTTTGAGAACTTACTCAAAGAAAATAAGTCAAAAGACTAAAATACTCCCTCAATCTTTTTCTCTATCTCTTAAATACACACCATTTTGAGGACTTGCTACCATTTTGTCAAGTAATTGTGTCTTCTCAACGCTATACCTTCAGGCATGAAAGCTGTGCG